ATTGTCGTTTGTTTTTATATCCTTGGCCATTAGCTCTAGGTACTTTATGTAGTTTATTACACTATTTTCTTTGAATAATATTTAATTTTTTTATTTGAGACTTGGAGCGAGACAGGGTAGTCCCATACGCACAATTCGGATTCGGAAACCGTAAACTTTAATACTTTTGTCGACCAGATAAATCTGATCGAAATTAATACTTGCTGCCTCAGCCTTAGAATACCAAAGTAGTTCAGTTCAGATTTTTAACTAATTCATCAACATTTTGATACAGAAAATTCTGTGTAAAGATTGCATGTATTGTAACACAAATTCTCGAATTGTTTGCGTGGCTTATATGTATACCAGTTGATTGAGGTTCCTCTCCCGACTGTTTAACCAACTGACAACACTACTGAATTTGATTGTTTGTCATTGAGAAATGCTGAATTTTACCGATCGGCCTAGTAACAGTAGTAGAAATTAATATAAGTAGCAGAAGTTCGAAAAACAACGAAGATTTATGGTATCTCTTCTTTGCATTTTTGCCTAGCTTTCATCTGTTAGTCCCGAAAGGTGTCAACGAAGTGTTGCAACCACGTTTCGCTGTGCGTCGTAAAAAGCGGAATAACTTCAAATTCTATTCATATATGCCAAAAAGGACAACTACCTACTCTATTTAAAAAATGGATAAATACTAAACTTTCGGCCATCAATTTTTTTAAGTAATAAATGCTGTGTTCGTCATTCCAATGTTTGCGCTGCCAGGTTTTTGTTTACCATGCTTCGCTTTAAAGCATATTTCATTTAGTTGGCAACATTGACACACGAACACCATTTTAATTTCTCTCCTACCCTCCAGGCTTGCAGGTTCCGTTTCCTGTCCGAATATTTATATATGGAATGCATATATTGGATCCGCTTTGACTGTCACAAATGAATATGGTTCAGGTCAGCCTGGTTAGGTGAGAACAAAATTAAATACAGTTTGTGAGCTTACTGTTTTTTCTGTTATACAATGGACATAGATTGTTTATGTATAGTTTTTCAAACTCAAACTCAAACTCAAAAGAATTTATTTCAATTAAACCATAATTTAGTACTTTTGGAACGTCAACAAATATGAAATAAACAATAGTCTGTCAGTCTGTCCGTCAGTAAAGCTAGGCGCTCGTTCCAAAATGTCGATTCGAGTGGAGAAGAACAAGCAAGAATCACCATTCGTTACTCTTTTAAAAAAAAGTCTGTTTTTGAAAATTATACCTCGTAAGGTATTTGTTAATATTGTAAGTAGTACGTGGCGCTTAGAAGTTTTAGCTCTACATATCAAAGCGTTTCGGTTCTAAATCTGAAAAATTGATATAACAATAATATCTTTTGTAATATCAAAGATTTTGGCTATCTTCCTAGTCCTTCCAATATTACTGGTAAAAATTAAGATTAGCCTTCGAGGTATTCAACCAATTTGAACCTGAGATACCTTGCAGACTCAACAACTAGGAATCAACAAATGAGACAATCAAGAAGTTAAAATGAAAAGTTAAAATTAAAAAGATTTATGTTAGAAATAACATTGTTATGTCTTGTTTGTTTTTTATTGTTATTTTCATAAAGATTTGTTTGTTTTTTTTTTTTTATTATTATTTTCATAAAGATTGTTTTATCTTAGGTATATAAACTATGTCGAAGTAAGTAATAAGGGATATTATATGTGATGGGATATTTAAATGCTAAAGAAAAAACTATGTAAGAATTACTAAATTCACTGTTTTGTATTAAACTGTACAAAGAGCGCCTCTCGCCATCAAACGTTACAGTTTGGCGAGTTTAGTTTTTAAGGACACAATTTGTAATAAGTTCACTGAATAAATTATTTAAAAAAAAAAAAAAAGAAAAAAGTACCTACTCATATTAGAAAGTATTCATAATAACTCTCAAAACAACTTATATACAATACAAGGGACCTTAATATCATATAATTAGGTACAATTGAAGGGTGAGTGTACGTCCTCTTGGCTCTTTACAATATTATCTGCTCTATACAAAGCCAGCAGCGATCTTATGTTGCTCTTCATAGAGTTTAATATTATTTGAATATAATGTTTCGTAATAAAATAACATTATTATTGAAAAGAACTTTTGTTATATCGTATAGTTTTTCATGTGAAAGTTACGTAATTGTTGAACCGTCATCATAAGACAGATATATAATATTAGTAAGGATAGTAAGGATACGAACTATCCTTACTAATCCTTACTTATATTATAAATCGGAAAGTGAGATTGTTTGTTTGTTCCGCTTTCATGCCGTAACTACTAAACCGATTGCTTTGAATTTTTGCAGACGTAAAGTTAGAAGTCCGGATTAAATAATAGGGTACTTTTTATCCCGGAAAAATTTGAGATTCCCGAGGGAAAACAAGAGTATTGGTATAGATGGCGCTGTATGTATTGGTATATGTCACATAGGCCACTTTTTATCCTTTTGTGACGCGAGCGGAGCCGCGGGTAAAAGCTAGTATTTTATAATTGCTGAAATAAAATGAACTAGTTTCTTAAGGTAATTGACTCATGACGACAGAGTAGAATATCCTACTGGAGTGTCATTTGAGAATGGTACAGTAGAATAATTATATTTGTCACTACTTAGGTATTTTTACCTAAACCTACCTAAAGAGCCAAGGGATTGCACATTTAACAGAGGCCGGACTGAAGCGTGAGCGCACTCTGATAGACGCAAAGGCTCGTATTTTTTTTTATTAGGGGTAAAATCATCGAATGGCTGCTCCCGCCTGGGCGAGGCGGGAGGAAGTGTCAAACTCTTACTGACTAAAAACCACCCCGTTCCTTCTCCTGCACGTCGAGCCGGAGCCCCGGTTACCCGTTAGGTTCTCCGCGACTCCAAGGTTCTCCGCGACTCCAAGGTTCTCCGCGACTCCGAGGCTCGTAGGCTAGTGGTGAACTGAGTATCAACGGTTTCGATTCGATACTAAGATCATATTACGTTATACCACGTATTTCTTTCTTAGTATAGTTTACGGATTGGCTCTTAAAAATTACAAGTAACGGAAAATACCGATATATTTTTTTTAATCAAAGTTTATAGTCGCAGTCGCACTCAAAACCATTAATTTCTTGCCAATGACATATTATGTCACATTATTAGTGTGGTCCCAAGACCCAAGTTTGTCAAGATGGTTGCCGATAGCGGCTTCGCGAATGCAGGAAAAGTAGACATTCCCTTTTAAAAGTTTTTTTAAGAAACTTCTCCTTGGTTTGCAACAAAAGTTTAAATGCCAATTACATCTGTCTCACGGCAAAAAATAATAAAATATTTTTATGAATAAATCCGCTGGCAGTGATTGGATGAAGTTGGAGCTCAGTGGCGTATTAACGGAGAATAAAAATTGTCTGGAATCACAGAAAGGCTTACTTTTTATCTGGCAAAGCTGCTAGCAGAGGTTAATAATTAATATTTAGCCTGATTCGAGGAATCTGAGACCTAGCGGCTGTCAGTTGGATGTCTACTTATTGCACTAACTGAGGAATCGTGTAAAAACATTAAATTATGAAGAGATTTACGGTCTATTCCTGCTTCGTATGGGCGTGAATTTATAACGTCCCCGATGTCAGTATTTTGTTTTGTTAGAGGTCCGTCATGGTATAGAATTTATAGGACAGTTGACTTCTTAATAAGAACATAATTATTATCTTTTCAAAGGAGAAAGAACTGCGTATAGAGATATGCAATCGTTTCACGACCTTCATAAGAATACCCGATTAACTTTTGTGACTGCATCTGGTACATAGCGACTATCCAGACATTGTGAAACATGCCCTAAGAATAGCCACAAAATCGTCGAAGAAATATATGTAAGTAGGCAGAACCAGGGTACAAGCCAGTATAATACATATAAGCATACAATACAAAGGCTACCATTAAACATTTAATTTCATTGGGAATATTGTGCATACATCAGAAAAATCTTGTTCTCGGAATTTTGATCATTGTTAACGGATAATGATTATTTATAAATTCACAAAGGAAAATACACGTAGGCATATTACAATAATTATCACAAAATTATTGGTTCATATGTATATACGTTTGTATAAGCATGGTCCACAAGTCGGTTATTAAAATTGTAAATGAAAATAATTACTGTTTGTAAAAGATACTGAAATTATCAATTACCGGACTGTCTATTTTTAATTATTAATTTATACGAACCAAACGTGGAGTTTTACATGTTTTTATATTCATAGATTTACCGCAAATTAATGATGATGATGATGACTGTTATTGATAAAATATATCATGTATGATTTTAATCCGATTAACAAACCACCATGGCCGATAGTTTTCACGTAACTAGGTATTTGATTGTTTTTAGTAAAATACATCATATTGCGTCAGATTAAAATGAAATATTATTTTATAGGTATTCAGCATCGAGTAACACAATGTGATACGTATTGCACTGTTTTTAAATTTATGACAATTTACTGATTAAATAAAACACACTGTAAAAAAATTATAATACAACACTAAAATCAAAAACTAAATACGTAATATACAAGAAAGTTGAAAAAATAATGTCCTAGCAAACGTTCTTTAGGACGCCCGCCCCGCGCGACAAAGTTTGAAATTCGAACTTCGAACAAAAGTTTTCCCGCGCTCTGTCGCGTTACGTCTTAACCGTTTCTCTATGACGAAATCAACAAGTTATCGCAGTAGGCTGAATAGAAATAACACCTCATCTCTACTAGCAAAATTAAAACAAATTATAGGTATGTATATTTTGAAAAAATATGAAAAATAAAATTAAATGAAATATTAGTTGTTTTCATAATTTAACAAAAATATTTTTAACACTAAACACAAGCTATAACAACGCCGATTTACTAAAAAAGTTTTATTATGTAACACAATTTCCACAATGACGTAAAATACACTAAAATAAAACACATATATACACAGCTAAAAATCACACACGAGAAAAGTTCAAGAAAAAACTCACTTTTGGTGATACGTCCAAACTTGACACAGTCTTGCCGTTCGATGTTAACAGAGGAAAACATATTGAAATAAAATGTCGAATGCAAACAGTCCGGACAAATGAACATCGGAGTTTGAAAAAAAACCGGATAACTTTAACTTCAGTACTGCGAGTGCAGCGCCGAGGCCGGGAGATGCGTCTCCCTTGAAAACGCGCTCGCGAATGGGCCCAGGGCCCGAAATCACTGCACGGGACCCGAGGAGAAAAATAATATTTAATTTTTTCTTAAGATGTAGGGAATGGACAGATGTGCTGGCGTGTGTGGGAAAGCAAGGGGTGATTGGGGTCGTGAATGAGTAGGTGTCACCTAACTTGTGTGTCCCCTCCCTATTAGAAAATGTAATTATTATGAGCATTGTTTGGCCAGATACATTATGCCTTATGTTCTAGCCAAGTACTTTCGAGGTACACACAATAGCTATATCTGGATAAACTTTATCTTAATTGAATGGTAGGTACTTATTTAGGTACCTTTTTTGGTTTTGTTTTTAAAATGGTGTGACTTTTATTTTTAAGTTAGTTATACATATACTTACCTGGATGAGCTATATAATTGTAGGTAACACAAACTAATTAATATTTGTTTAAAAAAGTTATGCCGAATATTAAGGTAAGGATAAGCCTGTACATAAAGTTTATTACGAGTACAATTATTGTTGCCGGTGCAATTTAAAAGTCATTTATACAGTATTTTTTGTCTAATTAGTAAATAAATTAATGACCAAGCGAGAAATTCGAATGGTCCAAAACGAAGCAAAAAGATTTTTTAACAGTGTAGGAATATTGAAATACTTCGTCTAATGAAATTTTAATAAGGATAAATAAACACAAGAACCGCTCTATAACGTAAATAATATAATCTATGTAAATAAATAAAAAAAATAATTTCCGTTCGTTTGTCGCGCTAAAACTCGAGAATAGCTGAGCTGATTTTGCTAATTTTGGTCTTGAAATGTTCGTGGAAGGCCGGGGAAGGTTTAAATTAATAAGGGGAAGGTTTTATAATGTATAAGTTTTTAAATATAAATCTCAATAATATAGGAATAGGAACTATCTAAGTGATTAATATTGTAATAGGTTTAAGTTTCTTTTTTGTATCCTAGAATGTAAGTATTTTGGCTCTTGCTGTAAACTTTCATTTAAATGTAAATAAATAAATAAATAAATAAAAAAAAAATATTTAACATAAATTGAAAACGTTGTCCGACTTAGGAATCAAACTCGATACTTCTCACCCGGCAGAGTTTTATACCCGCGCTGTTGCTTCTAATGTAACGTTTTAATTTATATTAGTTTCCTAGTACTATTTATTTATTTGGTCATTTCCCTTACAAATATATTCAAAATTAAATTCCTAGCTAGAAGTTTCAGTTTGAATATTATTTCTGCACTGTGAACCTATTGTGTTGTCGACACAAAGACAGGAGTCCTGCACAAACGCTGAGCTGTGTGGACTATGGATGACGAACACAAGGCGATAACACGACCCTACGACACAAGCCTTTTACTTTGAAGTATTTATTTACATCTGTTTAGGATTCCTTTACTAAATCCCTAACAGTTTTCATCCCTAACTCTTTTCTTACAAGATTCTCAAACTCAAAGTCTTTATTTACTTGTTAAGGTAATACATATAGGTCTTATGAAATAACAGGCTTAACGGCCTTTTTCAGGCGTTGCAAATTTTAGGGATGTCACTAACTTATTAAAAATTACATTTGCTTAACATTTATTTTTTTAACATAACTATTTATTGATTTGTTCGGAAGATTTTTTCTCTTTTCACGCTAAACATCGCCATATTGTTTATAGACTAGTGTTCCATCGTATGCCGCGACATCGATTACCATCAGCCGAGGACTATACATACTCGCTAATTTCGCTCTTAATATAATGATTGTGCGTTTGGCCTAGAGCACAACCATTGCTGGAAAAAGAATGGTCCGACTCGACTGAGTTACGGCCACGGCCACGGCGTCATAGAAAACCACGACCACGCTTGCTTTGTATTTCATCGTGTGAGTGATCAAAATCACCAATGGACTTGTAAAAAATGTTATGCATGCGCAAGGGTAGCGCCGGCGCCGATTACTTACCATCAGTTTATTATATTTATATCTAGTTTGCTGTCCTGTCACATAAAATAGATGAATAGTCTTATTACTAAAATCCGCTGTCAGTCTGTCTATTACCAATCCATACCTTCTGCCATCGGCTACACTCGGGTTTCTGTGGAATAAAGAGTAGCCTATGTATTATATCAGAGTTTCCACGCCATAACCTTCCCCTATTATAATTCAAATTACAGCCATTTCGACGTAAAGGAATTTGTTACTCATTACATACAAACCTTTATAATATTAATAGGATTTCTATTACAACTATCTATTGCAACTAGAACGACTCGTATGCCCTAATAATTGTCGCGGAGAATGATCGAATGACTGCTCCCGCCTCGACCAGGCGGGAGCAGTCATTCGATGACTTTCCCCCCCTTAAAAAAATGCCCTAATACTAGAAACCCTTTGTGCGTGACTCCGATTCGGTCTTAGCCGGTTTTGTTATTTTTGGTTACACACACGTGATACAAATCCGTTTGATAATGTGGACTCTCTAGTTTGTATTTTCTTTAAAGTTGTACCGTAATATGTGTCCAGGTACGGTACATCATTATGCATATGAAAATTCATGAAAGGATATCCTTTTAGTTGATCCACTTATATTTTTGGATTCGTTGTATGTAGGTATGAAGTTGTTATCTTTTCATAGTGGTTTCAAATATATAATAGCGCAGGAAAGCTTTATGAAGAAAGCTGGACTAGAATTAAAATATTTCGCCTATCCTTACTAATATTATGTTGTTTGTTTGTTTGTTCCGCTTTCACGCCGTAACTACTAAACCGATTGCTTTGAATTTTTGCAGACGTAAAGTTAGAAGTCCGGATTAAAAGATAGGGTACTTTTTATCGCGGAAAAATTTGATATTCCGGAGGGAAAACTAAAGTGTTGGTATAGATGGCGCTGTGTGTATTGGTATATGTCACATAGGCTATTTTTTATCCTTTTGTGACGCGAGCGAAGCCGCGGGTAAAAGCTAGTCTAACATAAACACGACGAGTGGCGAGCAGTTTTCAGCCTGGCACGGAAAGATATACAACTTAATTGGTCTTGTGTTGTACCTGTATCAAAAACTCGGCCAATTTAATTAGATTATTTATTAGTGCTAGTAACTTCATCACTAAGTTGGGTTTGATCGCTAAACCGTTGGAGGTCTGTTAACGTAGGAAGCTGTGAAATAGATGTTCCAGGAAGTGTACAGGTCCGGAGCGGACAGTCTAGCTTAGCAGGGTGGTTTTTAGTCGATAAGAATCTGGGCTTATCCAAGCCGAGAGAAGACATTAAATGATTGTCCCCCTTAAAAAATCAGGTAGTGTAGAGTAGCACTATGAAAGGTTTTCAAACATGACAATAAGATATTTTTTATATGATAGAATTAAGTTGCAGGCTCAGTAGGATTAGTCGTCATCATCAACAGCCTATAAACGCCCACCGCTGAGCAAAGCCTCTTCTCACACGGAGAAGGTTAGAGCATTAATCACCACGCTTGCTCAATGCGGGTTGGCGATTTCAAACTTATAATTTGAAATTATAAGCCCAGGTTTCCTCACGATGTTTTCATTCACTGTTGGTCAGTGGTGTCTAAATAATCTTAGAAAGTACATACAACTCGGAAAAAGTCACATTGGTACTTGCCGTTGGTAGGTTAGGTTTCGAACCTGCACGAGAAGCAGGCGTCTTCAACCTCCGGGCCACCACGACTCAAGTTTACAAACTAGTTTGAAATAATATTTTTAGATATGAACAAAAGATTCTTATTTCCCGAGTATCGTGTTATACTGGATGATTTATAATATACTTTCTCTTTGGTGCAGGCTAGATCGTCTAGATAGACATGTCAGGACGACATCATCTAGGGTCTCAAAGGGTTTCGCAAGGAGTTTTCAAATAAAAAAATAAGGATTCAGTATGCACCCTATCCTAAAATATTAAACTACATTTATGAATTCAACCTTATTACATTGTAATACAGTTGATAATTGCGCATTTTTTAGTTTTGCGTAGTTCAATAATTATGCAAGTATTATTATTAGTAGCTTAATTACTGAAGAGTAATTTCCTGATACAACTGAAACTGAAGGTTAGGTTGAGGTAGGTTAAATGTCAATAAGCAAATACATATTAACCCCTCGAGCGTCCTTATGAGCACTCGGTGGATCATAAGAAAAAATGCTCCATGCTGCTTTCTCTTTTATAAAATCTATTAGTGTTTTGTTTTTATTTTGACTGTATTTTTTATTTCTATTGTAATGATCCCTGTTTTCGTGTGCCAATGGCTAAATAAATGCATTTTCTTTCTATCTTTCTTTCTTTCTCCAAATGTCACGTGTGCACCCGTTGGATCATAAGGAACGCGGACTCTTGACGGGTTAATGTCACTAGCTTTTGATTGACAGCAGCTTCATCTGCGTTATCGGGATAAACATTAGTTAATATTTTAAATTTATTTATTTATTTCAACTCTTACCGCTAACATTACAGGCAATGTCAAGCAGCTTACAGTGTAGACTGCGCGACATCGCCGCGACCATGCACGCTGCTCATGAGGAAGAGCCCCTCTGTGGCTCGAAACTAGTAGAGCTTTTTTCAGTATTTTCACGTGAGTCACCAGCGATTTCTAGTTAATTATGCAACTTCTTTAAATACAGTTCAATAAATTGTTACTTTTTTGTGAGAATGAGTCAAAGGTACACAAGATTGTTCCCGTCCCTCTCTCACATAAGAAAGGGGGTGCATTTAAAAGTTCCAACTGTTCAAAACAAGTCTTGACCAGTTCGCCCAACTTATGGGTCGCAAGTTCAATGTTCGATGATGACAATACACATGGTATTACATTTCATTCCCGAGGTGAACCTGATTATTCTAGTCTTCTGATAGGTGAGAGGAGATTGTTGATAATGTGGTAGACTAACATAACATCACGCCTTTTATCCTCAAAGGGGTAGGCAGAGGTGCATATTATACCACTGTATACCATATTATATCAATGTAACACTCACTTTTCATTATTTATGTTATGAGTCCCATGTAATAGGGGG